TACTTTACAAGATTGGACATTAACTGTGATTAAAATAATTAACTTGAAAGAAGGCATGATTGGAAGTAAAAGTAATAAGTACCTAATAACTGTTGAGTTACTTTTTTGTATTAAAAATACATTAAATATACGCAGCTGAATATGCCAAAGAAAAATTACATTCCTTTATTACACTAAAAATTACTTAATTCAATTGTTTATATATCTATCATATGTTTATATATACAGGGTGTAACAGGTCTATTTGACTAATGGTAGTGATATGCATCACGTGGGTCATGTTAAATAATGATATAATATATATTATATGTGTTTACCTATTATTGATTATTGATTTTCAATGATATTGATTAGCAAGAAATAAATTTTAATTTTAAGAATCTGAAAATTGTTTAAAAATCAAGGACGTAACCAAATTAAAAGTTTTAAACGCAAAAACTGTTTTTAAATATTTATTTATAAAATATCTATCTTGGATAATAAGAAAAGAATTTAATACAAAATTTAAATAATTTAATTTTAGTTGTAAAAAATAAAATAACATATAGCATATAAAAATTATAGTGCTGAGTTCTAGAAATCATTACAAAAAAAAAAAAAAATATATGAAAAATGCATAAAAAGTTCTTGCTCTATTAATACGTAAAATATCTATACAGAAACCGAGATAGAATTAGGCATGATAGTAAATGGTAACAGTGTGTCGTAATCTCGTAATAAGCGATATCCTTAAAAAATAATAAATAATAATATTTTGTTTTCAATTAAAAAAAAACTTAAGTTATCTTTCAAAAAAAAAATACATATCTAAAACAGTTCGTTCATTATTAAAGAGAACTTAATTTTTCGAAAATTCATCTACCTAACTTAAAATATTATCAATAAAATTGAATCAAACATTTTATGAACCATATACCACATCTCAGGGTGTTTCATATCTCATTGTTATGCTCTGGTTTCTGTAAAAATATTTGAAAAATTGTATAACTTTTGGTAAAATTTTAATTTTAACTTATTAAATATTCATAAAAACTCTCATAGAAGGCTAATTTTAATGTTAAAAGATTAGTCTTGATTAAAATATATAATTAAACGTTAAAGTACCGTTCAAATTCACTTGGGTGATTATATATGTATATGACTAATAAATATATATATTCTTAAAAAAGCGAATCTTGAATCTTATATTTTTTTTTCATTAAAAACACTTTGTTTGAGTAAATAATAAAAATTGAGAGATATTAGAAACTAATAAATTAAACTCAACACATTGTTTAACTTAGAAGAATAATAATATCATAGAGTAGCTAGGTATACATGGAGTATAGTACCTATACATAAAATAATGTACGTAATATAAAGATTCATAATAGTAATTTTTCAAGATAAAAAAGAAAAACAGCTTTTGAATGTGGTGAAGAATTATAAGGATTACGTTACGAAATTTAAAGCAACTTCTATTACTTGTTTYATAAAATTTATCCAAATTTCTAATTCTGGATAAAAATAAGATGTGATGATAGGTGATTTTTTTGATAAATACTTTCATTTTTAGACATTTAATTTTTTTCGAGTACTGAAAACTATACTAGTTAGTAGTTTTAGTCGTGTACTTTTTTGACTAATCTAATTCTGTTTTTAAATTTAAGATTTTAGATATTTAAAAAAAATTATAGTTCTCACGTAGGTATTTATTACCTATTAAATATTTTAAGTGACATACGTATTGTAATCTATTATCTAAATAAACATAACAACATTATACTTGAACTTGATGAAAAATAGACGTACAAGTACACAATTTATATCATATAAAAGATTATGTTATGGTTTCTATATGTTAAAATGTAAATTTGGGACCTGGTGTGGTACTTACTTGTTTTGAGGTCAACGCATCGACCAACGTCGCTAGTTCCCGGATGGGCGACCACCTGGGTTCTTAGTAACGAATACTCGTCCTATTTACATGTGTTTCAAACCAAACAGTAAAACCATSCTATGCAGTTGATGTCTTGAAACAAATTTGCCTCTGGCCTGGTATATATGCACACCATTGTAGTACTAATGTAAGAATACAAAAAATAAAATTTCTATTTGGAATATAATAGATGGGTACATTGGGTACACAAAAAGTGTAATTTTGGACTGGTGTGGCGTGGTGGTTGGCCGTTGTCTTTAACGTTATCAAGCATCACCTGGCTTCACTAGCTCCCGGATGGGTGACCACCTGAGTTCTTAGTGATGAATCCTTTCCCTGCATCCACACGTGTTTCTAAACAACCCATAACTACCTACAAATGAAATGACCATTGTTGCGGGTGAAAATGTTTAAAAAAAATGTGTATTATGTAATAATAAAAATAAAACAAATCCAATTGTACATTGTTTAATTTTATAAAATATTATATTTCATGGTAAAACTTTGAAAGAATAATAATTAACAATAAGTATGTAATTTAAGATATTTTAGATATTAGATGGTTAAATCTTCTTCTTTATTATCATACAACAAAATACAGACCTGTGATGTAAAGATTACCTATCACATATCAAAATGTTTTGTCAAATAATAAATAATAATATTTTGCAATAGAAAATATTGAAAAAATTGTTTTTAGATTATTTCACTTAAAAATTATTTAAAACAGTTATAATTCAACTTTTTGTGTCGAGGGTCGTTTTATGGGTACTGATAAAATTATAATAAAAGGACCATGATATCAAACGTTTTTGGGGCCGAAAAAGAATAATAAAATAATAAGTAGGCATAATTTTAATGTTGGAAGGGGGCAGAATTTAGATAGTAACCGTTTATATACTTATATTTAAAAGTTGTTTTGCTTTAATGAGGACGTCTCATCTGTCTAAAACTTCAGTTATTCTTACAAATGCAAAACATCAACAAATTTATGTTCAGCAGTTATCAATAGGATCAGAATTAGTTTTAACAATAATAATAGGTAAATTATCTTCAACAGAACTTGTAAGTCAGTTACAAGACATACAGATGAATCAATAATAGTYATTAGTTATTACTTCTATAATTTATGTCCAATCATACTTTTGAGTTTAGATCACATATTATGGGTGTATCTATATCCAGACAGTTCCCCTGGTGTATACACTCAGCTCGTTCAAGCACTCGTCTCTTAATTATTATGTACGTAAAATTACATAGGTAGGTTACTATTGGCTCCTATCCATAATATATTGCTAGTGGCGTCAAAGTCCTAAAAGTTTATTAGGGTAAAAATATATCAAATATATCTTAAATTTTTGAAATATGTCAGGCTATTATTATCTAAGAGGTATTCCTAAGAGGTCAACAATCAAGCGATCAACTTTTTGATTTTTCTGCTTTAGTTGATTTTGTGTAAACATTTTGTAAGCTTTAATAACCATTTGTCTCTAATTAATTTTTGTGTCATGAACTGGAGGTTACATAGGTAGACTTAAGTGTGTATTCCTTCTATATAATTTTTTTGTTGTCTCTGGAAATACATTTGCCTCCGGGTGCCAATACCCTCTTTCTCATTAAAAAAAAAAAAAATATTTCTTGGAATAATTTTGTAAAACTATGTTATTGTATGTGATGACTTGTGGCCGAATTTATATGCATTTGCATATTTTTTCTAAATTGTCCAAAAATAGCTAGGTAAGCTACACGTTTTGATTAAAGTCAATAGATCCGAATTACAAATTTAGATTTTTCACATTTTTGCATATTTTGTCTTTCATAACATGTACTATATATTTCGGTAATTTGCATTTTTTATTACACACATATGGTTTTTAAATTCATATTACGTGAGGTCACCTTCACCCAGAACAATCAGAACAGTATTTTTTTTTTTTTTATAAATAAATGTATTTACAATCTGTATTATAATAAAACAATGAGTAAATTTTAGATTTTTTACAAGGTTTGGAGGCTTAAGTGAAGGGCGCGTCCATTGACACTACTTCAAACTGGTTTTTTATTTAATTTTTTTTTATTTAGCGAAGTAAATCACGAGGACAATTCCGTTTTAGTCGACGGGGAGGGTTATCCGGGAGAGTCTTAGAGTAGAGGTTTGAAATTAGCGGGTTTGGATGATTATTTGTTTTAGAATGGAATTTTTTATAGTGTGTTGAAGCGAGGGTCAGAACGATATAATMTGTATTATTTTTGTAATATTAATTATCTATAAATATAACGATAATGAGTAACGATTGCCAGACGACTGCGACCGCTTTATAAGGTTCTATTAATTATTTTACTAACGATTAATATAACGTGTTTGTTGGGGTTTATTCTCACTTAATTTACTTAATTTACTTATTATAATAATATGCCAGGGCTGGAGATTCCCTAACTCCAAGGTCTTGTTTGCTTATGCCACAAAAACTTGTCGACTGTATCAAGCAATCCTCCGCATCCATTTTCAATCTTGGATAATCTTTTTTTTTCTTCTAAAGAATGCATTACGTTAAATATTTATTTAAAAACTACAAATCAAAGGTGGCCAACTTGCTTTCGGTGTATTATTTACAAAATCCAAAATAAAGTATAAATATATTAATTTTATAAATACATGTTTCTAAATAAGTTAAATATTTTTATGTTGCTAATACGTAAAATTATATTACCTATCTAATATTAATTATTGAACGTTAAATGATAACACACCAAAATAGAAATATATCAATTAACTATATTAAACGACAAATAAATACAAATAAATACTACATTAAATGATACATGATAATAATAATTAATAACCAATAACCATATAGGTTAATTAAGGTAAGTGCCTTCATTGATAAATAATATGAATAGATAAAATATATCACGTACTAAGATAAAGTATATCTTAGTCCGTGTTAAATAATAATTATGTTGTATTACGAACTCTCAACATGTTATACTATATTATACATATAGAACATATAGTATCATCGTTAATTAAGTATACATAATGTATAACCTGCTTAATCATTCGTATCATATTAAATTAATAAACACAGAATTTTATAATTGAATCGACACGATTGATTTACATAATAATATTATAAGATTAAGTCTTGGCACTATATTATCAATATAACATTGTTAATTCGTACCTATGTGATGTTATATACAGTCAACAGATCGGTAGGAACTTTTGTTGAGTTATGCGGATGAAATGAGAATTAACCGTATCGCGTTGACGAATAGTAAGTAGCCTGGGTTAGATACCTATCTATTACTATTATAAGTCATTACTAATAATTCGCAACAGGTTTCACCCCATCAATAAATTATATAATCAACTGTTACTGTTCTGTTTTATCGCGCCATATTTAGTGCCATTTGTGTCTTTCAAATTATCCGTGTCTGGTAATTGTTTGTACGATTCTTTGATTTCCTTTCTGTGTTGAATGTATAGCCACCTAAAATAAAACGACGATATTATTAATTACACATCTTATACACGTCTTACACGTTTTAAGTTTTATGGTTTACACAATATTATTTATTAAGATTCATAAAATTATAAGTTGTAACAGTTAAAACCACAAAAATCGACATAATAATTCAATTTTCTGTTTGTTTCAATAATGGTAAAAACATCGATGCATCGATAGCAATAATCTGATATAGTTTTATTTTGTMAGTTATAGTAATTATGCTATATAGTTATAGAAGTAAAATGTATCTAAAAATGCATAAACATGATCCCAAAGTGTTTAATTTATGTTGATGTTTTGTCTCTGCACCTCCACCAAGCTATATTATTATACTTACATCATACAGGTATACTCACAATTTTACCAATAATCGTAAGTAATTATTTCACAGTGATTGTATTAAATATAAATTGCAATTTAAGTTCTCATAGTTATAATTATAATTCATAATGCAAAAAAAAATAATCAATAAAATAACTGCAACTATAAATATTGAAATAAAAATTGAATGAAATATGTTATGCAGACATATATGATATATATAGAGAGGTACGTATAGGATAGCTTAAAATGACACGGTGGATGGTCTGTTTTAGTGTCATATTCGAGGGTGATGGCTGAATAGCTCCCTTGGAATTTTTTATCGGTAATATTTTAATCATGATTATAGCCCATATAGGTAATAAATTAATTTAGTATTTAATTAGCCCTCATTTTACCCTTGATTGAACTAGCCTGTTTACGAATGACCGTAGGTTTAATTCTAAATAGGTAGACCATAATAATATCATATGGATTTTTTTTTTTTTTTATGATTATTATTAAAAATAGTGTATTTACAATTTATACATGGTATAATAAGTAAATTTGATGACAAAATAACAAAATAACATTAAATACAGAAAATGAAGGCTCCTAGCAGTGCCATCTGACAAGAACTTAGGGTTTAAATTTTTTAGTATTTTCTCCTAAGTTAATTTTTTTGGATTTATAGAACATAATAAATTTCTATTTAATAAACTTGGTACTTACAAATAGAGAAAAATGGTTGGGACCGTTATGGCCGCAGTGACTAAGAAATAAGCGCTAGGGAAGAAGTCTACGGTAGATTCATACACGTAGCTATATAACGGCCCACACAAAATGGGTATAACATTTTCCCCGATGCCTGTTACTGCACTGACTTGACCTACAAAAGAAAAAAACAACAATGCAATTTAAAACTGTTCTATGATAACTATAGGTATGTGAATTGTATAGATATCGACTATCGATACTCACCGAGTTCTTGAGCCGGAATTATTTTGTTTATGATAGATTTCATGGAAATAATGGCCGGTCCTTGTAAACAGTTCACAAGCGCTCCTGAAATCCAAATTTTTCGATATAACATATGAATACTATGTTCAAATTTACGATGTTGTTTGCTGACAATAATATTATTATTGATATTTTGTATTTTATTAAATATGTTATTATTCTTATTAACACCGATGATTATGTTAGTGATTTATTTTTTTTTTTGGCACACAATCCAACCACTCACCTGAATAGAATACAACCACACTATTAGCGAATGCGAATATGAATTGCGATATTAATTTTCCAGTAGTAGCCACGGTGCCAATTAACGCGTCGTCAACGCCAAACTTTCTGACCACGACCCCGAGAACAACAAACGTTCCTGTAGGACAAATAAAAAATTCCAAATTAACTATACAAGCTTACAACACAAGTTTTCAATTTCACTGACCCACGAGATTGATGCACATCGTGGTGGTCGAGTACACGCTGAATTGTACTTCATTCCAATTGAACTTTACTCGAGTAAACAAATACGCGACACCTTTATCACCTATAGAATTCCAACGAATAATAATAATATGAGTATAGGTCAAATACGTACACAAAAACAAATTTGAAGTGGGGAGAGGGTGATACAAATTTTTTTATCTTATACCTCATCAATAAATAATTAATGTTTTAGGTCACAAAAAAACCTTATAAACAAATAAATTTAAACTTATTTTTAAAATTCAAATGACAAAGTATTATACATTGTTTTAGATTACTACGTTTATATGATGGTGTTAAAATGCTTGCACGCCATCATATAAACTTTGTAAATGAATAGTTAACTGATACACGCTAAGTAGGTACAACACTATATAATCTAATATTTAAGATATTTTTAACACACATTTGTAATACATTAATGAAAAATAAATGAAGCAGATTTATACGATCACTAATTTAATTTTTGAAGTAAAAACTCTAAAGAAGGAATTTAAAATAATCAGGACTCTTAAACTGGTTTTTATAGCTATACAGCCTATACATAATATGTTTTACATACTATATGCTTTGATTATTTTTGGTTACTAGGTATAGTAGGTTGTTAAATGTTACTGCTACATTTGAGTTACGTAATTTCGAAGGACCAACCTAATCAGAATATATTCAAACCTTGAAAAATGTATTTAAAATCTCTCATTAGTTGTTTTTATAATAATATAAAATTTCAAAAACATATAAAAGTTTTTGAAGGTGTACATTTAAAGTTAAAATTTTAACAAAATGTATTATTTAAACAAAAAATAATATTTTTTGTATTCTGTTGTATCTCAAAATATATTATTCATAAAGACTTGAAACGTTTCGTATTACCTATTATCAGTTTATTATTTTCAAACTATATCAATTGGATGATGAAACAAAMACTTTAAATGTAATACAACGGTATTAAGTAATTATTTTTCTGGTCAGCAATAAGATTTAAGAATATAAAATAATGTCGGATGGGTATGAATTTTATTATTAGTAAGTAATCAAAATTTAGCTTGGTCAATTTCATCAATTGATGCGTAATACCTACCTATAACATAATAATAACATGCACCCTGTTATTATTAATGATAATCTATTGTTATTTCAGAATTTTTGAATAATATGTTTTTTAAGTAACTAAAAAATAGCGGAATATACATAGTACACAGTACAAGTAATTGTAATTAATGAAAAGTAAAGCCTTAGTTCAAAACTGTAGCAACTCAAAAAATTTGTTTTTCGGATATAATGTGTCTTCTATATTGGTTCTTTATGGACTCTATGTAACGTAACGTAAATAAATTATTATATTGAAAATGATGTATTGTAGATACTAATTTTAAATTTACCTATATTTTATTGCATTCTTGAACTGAAGTCGTTATAATACTGAGTGTATCTTTACAATAGTGTATGTAATTCAGATATGTTATGACTCGAGTTACTGCAGTTTTGAACTGGGGAGTCATTTATAGCAAATGCTTATGATGAATGAAATTTGTTATTAATTATTATTTTATTCTCTTGACAATTTAAAACGTTGATAAAAAAATAAAATAATCTCGTCGAATTTCTTTTTAATATACTTAAAAATAATCAACGACATATTATGTTATATTATTATAATATTTTATGATAATATAATATATTTTTTTTTTTTTGTAAGGAGAACCCGCGGAAACATTGGGTGTGGGGTGGTATGGTAGGGGTTATTTTTGTATATTTGTTTGTAGGTTTTTAAGTGGGTAGGGTTGTAAGTTGTAACACGTGTTTGTGTATGTGTGGCAAGGATATGTTGCTAAAAATCCCGGGTTAGGTTAGGTCACCCATCCGGGAGCTAGCAACTGCGGCCAGTACGTACGCTCAGTGCGTTTCCGCAGATTGAGCGTACGACCGTGCCTCACCAAGCCACATAATATTATTATTATCTATTATAATGTATTTATAATATGTGCAGGGACACATACCAATTTTGTTTTATTACGTTGACGAGTGTATTACGAGTAAATTCTGCTGAAGGTATTAAATCGATTTATTCAGTACCTAATATTAAAAAAAAAATAAAACTTTGTTTTTATATGTAATTATTTTTTAATGTCACATATTCAAAAATAAGAAGTGTCAGGTACCTTTATAATACTTTATTATGTATTAAATTTCGGTAAAAATGAAAGTATATMAAATATAATTGGTTAATTTCTAGGAAGTATATTTTAATTATTATTATGGCTATTAGATAAATGAAAGAACTGATTATATTAATATTACATAATTAACGCTTGTTATTTTATAATTGTTATTAGTATGTTATAAACACATCAGTCGACATGTTCTTTGAATTAATTCAAAATAATTTTTAATGTAACCTTTTTTTGTTATTTATTCAGGTTTGTTTTATGTTGGTTTATCAAAATCTATGTTATTTAATATTTTTCTTACTCTTATAATTATRTAGAACTATTACATCATTACTCGAGATGTTATACGTTTTAATAATAGTATTTGTATGATTATATTAGTATAGAACTGGATTTTCCYTGATTTATTGGAAGTTCAACAAATAATCTCTACTATTTTAATATTTTTAATATTAATTATTATACTATTCAGCACAGCGAAGTATTATTTTATGAACAATTATATCTAGTTARTAATAACTAATAACTATATTAATATATATACCTTGCAATGGACCCATGATTCCAGTTATGAGCAACGTCAGAGCGATAACTTTCATTCTTCTATTGTTTTTTTCCTTTTTAAATGTCACTTTGAACGCATCAATTAAGTGATTCAAACTGAAAAAGAACTTGATACGACTCCAATAAGACATTTTATGTTTCATACCCGAATCAAATTTGATCTGTTTTGTATCGTGGACGAAAATGTGAGCCATCCAAATGCTGATGCAACAGAGTATCAAAGCTATGATGTAAACTCCTGTGAAACCAAGTTCACGATATAATATACCAGATAAACCAGTACCCATAGGAAGACATAAGGCCATTGTCGCGTTTACTAGGCCAATTCTTAAGGTTTTATTTTGGTCCTATATGCAAAAAAAGATATACATTATTAATATATATATATATATATAATACATTTTAGCTATATAACTATATATATTTTTTAAAGGGTACAAGAACTACGAAGATTCAAAGTATAGCGCATTGTTATTATTGTACATTTTAAATTCAATTAGTTTTGAGAAAAAATTAATCTCAATGAGATTGAATGTTTTTTTTTTTTATTTTTAAATAAATATTAGTTTTTAAGAGCAATAGGGACAACTGCATTTCTTTTCTCAGTCTTCATAGTTTATTTTTCAAAGATAATAATGTCTCTTTGAACAATACAATTGTAATATACAATACGTAAGGAGACATCGCACCCGCATGATGTGTTGTCTCCTTCTTATACATATATGCGTATGACATAACGAATTTTAGTTCACCACTTTCAATAGTGTTCAGAGTGTTGTTAGTTTTGATATAAGAGTGAATTGACATATTATTGTCAAACTATTTTAAGCAGAAACATTATCTGTGTTCTTTCGTTGGTTTTTTATGATATTTTAATTTTTAAGTGAGCTATGAGTATGTGAAATATTTATATTTGAAAATGCTTATATTTAACTTTAAATTTAGAATATTGTAAAAAACCAATGAGAGAACACAGATAATTGTCTTACCTAAAATTTTGATATTGGGTMAATTCACTCTAATATMAAAACTAACAGCATACTATTGAAACTGGTGAGAGAAAATTTGTTATTCTATACGCGCGTGTAAGATGGAGACAGCACATAATATGCACTATGCAGGTGTGACGTCCACTCACATAACTGATATCTTTTATACTGCTATATAAAATGAAGTCACTTTTTTTTGTTTGGGATAAACTCCGAAACTACTTAGAAAAAATAGAATTTTTTATTTAATTCATTCATGTTTTTTCATTATTTCCGTGAGCCAATCGAAAAATTTGTAACGATGTCTTATGTGACCATAATGGGTGATTATAAAAATAAAATATGAACCTATGAATATATCAAGTATAATAATTAATAGTTACAAGCAGAAGTCAGTTTAAAACAATCGATATCAAMATTATTTWWAAAAAAAGAATATAATATAGTTAAAAATTATCAATAMATTTCTTAAATTTAATTTTTAAAGGAATGTAAAATGAGTATTGAGTACCTAAAAACTAATATTTACGTTTTTATTTTTATAAAATAACCTTCATGCAGCTATTGAAATAATTTCATAAGCAAAATAATTTATGTAGGCATTTCTTTAAAGAGATAATGATAAGTTACCCTATAGTGGAAAAATATTTATCTGAAATCGAYGATTATAATGTTAAATAAACGTTAAGAAATGTTTTACTAATAAAATATTTTAATATAATATTATAATATTTATTAAGTTAAAGTTAGGTACAAAATACTGTTTGAAATAAGTTAATAGTTTATCATAGAATAGGTATAATGTTGACAAAATAAGATTGTTATCATAGACAGGGTGTCCCACGAGGATTTACCCATTGCGATATCTCCCGAAATAATGGTGATATCGAAATTTTGGTTTTCTAATAAGTAATAAGACTCWTAGGGATAAGAACTATAATTATTTCATATTTTAATGTTTTGGTAAAAAAGTTAAAAAATATATTTTTTTATTTAATTATTTCCAAAAAAATTAAAGATAGCCATTTTGTAGAGTTTATTTTTCTGAAAATATTGGCGTTCCAACATTTTATTTTCATTAATTTCCCGATTTTTAATATWTTTTTTTTAGTTTCGAGAAAAATTGCGAATTATTTAACACCGTAATGTTATCAAACATGTGACCCGCTGCGCCGCGCGCATTCCCATACGGCCGGCCGAATACTTCCCGTGTTCCTAATAGTTATACGTCATTTATAATCATATTTTATTTCTTCAAACTAGAAAAAATATTAAAAATCGGGTAATTAATGAAAATAAAATTTTGAAACGTCAATATTTTTAGAAAAATAAACTCTACAAAATGGCTATCCTTATTTTTTTTGGAAATAATTAAATAAAAAAATATATTTTTTAACTTGTTTACCAAAACATTAAAATTATTATGAAATAATTATAGTTCTTATCCCTGTGAGTCTTATTAGAAAACCAGAATTTCGATATCACCATTATTTCGGGAGATATCACAATGGGTAAATCCTCACGGGACACCCTGTATTACTCACTACTCAGTACTCAGTTCTTAAATGAATTTCGAGGATAATGGAATTTAATTATAAAATAATAACGTGACATTGAACAAAATAATTTATTTCTTAATAGTTATTTTACAAGAGAATTCTTATGTCATCCCTACTTAAAAAAAAATGTACGATGAACATGATCCAATAGTCAGCAATATAAAAAAGTTGTGCAATATGATAAATTAAAAATTAAGCAATTCTTTATTCTATGAATAGTTTGTATAAAGCCCTWTTATAATTCAAATAACTGTTAGCAATAATAAATAATWATATATTATGCAACTAGGTACGTATTTAGTAGGCTTAAAAAATAAAATATTCATTGGTATAATGTATAATATTATCTAAACTTTGAAGTAAGTATACTTTAACTACTCGACAGAAATGTATTTGCTTAATAATCATTATATAGCACTCTAATTAGAAAAAAATCCATTTAATGATTATGAATAGCAAATACTGGTCTGAATAACAATAATAATTATTATTCATGAGTATAAGACATAAGGAAAATACTTTATAAATTGAGTGATATATTATGTATCAATATAGTGTTTGAAAATTTCATGAAATTTAAAATTGTGAAATATTACCTAATATATATATATATATATTATATATAAGAAAACCTAATATAGTAAGATGCTAACTACGGCACTACATTTATATCAATAATTAAATCTAGAACTCATTGGCTATAATATAATTAATAATAGATAAATAACCGTCATCAATAGTTGTWTTAGAAAAACATTTCAATGTTTCATGGTTTTCTGAAATATTTCACCATACAGTGAAATACTTCATACTTCAAACACTATACTTCTATATATCAATAAATTTATGTCAAATTATTAATAAGTATCAAAAATGCCCAACACACAACTTCTGATCCAATATGGTTTTATTGTTTTATTATAGACAATAATGCATGCGAATAATGCAAAGTTTAGGTGTAGTAAAAATGTATCTGTAATTTTAGATTCTAGTCATAATTATGAATTATATAGATCTTACATTTTTACAATGATGTGTCTTTTTATTTATTTATTTTTTTGTTTGAATTAAGTATCTTCAAAGAAGTAAAAATGCTTTGATCTCCAATTTTAGGGTAAGTTGCTGGTAGAAAATATAGGATCTAGTTGGTACTCTGAAGGATTAAGTGTAAAATAGTACTTAATTTACAAAATAACCGAGGAAMAAACAAATTGTGTACTTAAAAACAAGAACCAGCTTTTGGMAATTTTTTTGTTGTAACTTAAGAATTAATAATTGTATAGTCTATAAATTTCCACTAAATATTAAYTATTAAATTATAATACAAATTTTCGTAACACAATTTTTAACGAATCATCAAAATATGCACTAAAAACTCAAAATATGCGCTAAAATGTGTTAGATAATAATTGATCAACTACTTGTAAATCGTATTTTGTTGACATCTAATTATCTAACATACAACAAGAATACGATATCATCTAAAAATAATATGTGAAAATGTACGATAAAGCCTTTACACTGTTAATAATAATATACTCAATTATTATATGCTTTTCTAAAGAATTTTATCCAAAAAGCCGTAGCCGTTTACCGTGCTGTGGTCTCCCACGTAAGAGAACACGGCCATGTACATGACTGTCCAGTAACCGGTGACGGCGATCGGCAGCGACTGCCACAGGCCCGTCAAGTTCATGGGCAGCTCGTCAAAGAAGTAGACACACAGCAGCAGGCCTAAGTTCCGGATCACCTCGCCGTAGACCGGAAGCAACATACACGGCCGTCGCAAACGGTTCCGATCGCTCCACGAGCCTAGGAACAGCACGAAGACGGCGGGCACGCTGCTCTGCAATATCGTCTGCCAGATGAGCATATCCGCGACCAGCTTCTGCACGGTGATCTCGCTGTTGGTGAGCATGCTGTTGTTCTTGTCCTTGTTTTCCAGGTCGTTGCAAACTTCCATGCTCAGTTTCAGTTCCACCCGGCACGCCTTCTGGATGTTGAGGTTCTGGTTGGCCAGTATGACCAGTATGGACGCTATTAGGTACGGGAACAACATCGGCTCGACGGTTATGTTCCGTAGCAGCATCCGGTGCAGTGGTTCCTTGTCGTTATTTGGAGGGTCCATCACAAGGCGATCCCTCTTCGTCGCTGAACCTTCCTTATTCACATCTACGCGCATCGTTTCTGTGTCGTTTAAGATATTATTATTGTTGTTGGTAGTGATCTTGGTATTGCTCCATACCTTATAATAAAATAAAATAAAATATTTTTGAATATTAATCACTTATTTTACATAATGTGTTACAATTTATAAAAAAAAACACGTATTTTAATTAGTAAAAGAATGATAAAGCAGTATTTATTTTTATATCATAATTTATAATATGTGCTAATACGTGGCTCAATCCACTTTATCTCGTAATGAAGTGATATTTGATTTATTGATATGACCAGGATAGTATACGGGTGCTAAAAGAACTTAAATATGTCTATTCAGTTGTAAAACACTTAATCAATGCAAATATTTTATCGGACCGCCAATGTCAATATGTTTTTGAAAATTAAAAAAAAATATATATTATAATCATTTAATACATATAATTCAGTAATCAAATAAGTTAGAATATATTATATATTAGTAATAAAGTAAAATTCTATATTATTAATTGTCTGGTTAACATAACATCCACAAGAATTATGGTATCATTGATTTTTAAATTGTTTTTATGGTATTTTTTAAAAATAGGTACACATAGTCGTACAAATCTTTTAGAACATTGATAATATATATTATGTAATTATATAATGCGTCATTCAAATCATTAAATTTTATCTAATCATCACACATTAATTTATTAATTTAATAATCGAATAGGTAATTAAGTATAGCCAATAAGCATATTTTTTTATCAGGTATACCTTCTTTTTAAAATTAAAAACAATTAAGAAATAAGGAATCTAACTTCTGTACTTTAGTGCTATACATTTTTACTACGATTTTTATAACAAAAATAGTTTAGTTACCCCGTGAGAATACAACACGCATAAAAAATTTTGAAATGTATTATTTTTAATAAATTAATAATAATGATTTAAAATATTTGAATAGGTATYTAGTATCTATAAAAATTTAAGGCTACTGTCGAGAATACTCATATTTTAAAACTATTTAAAACCTACTAGGTTTTAAGATACTTTGAGTTTCGTATTTAATGTGTAAGCACAGAAGAAACCATACAATGTATCCCACCTTATTTTAATTCGTTAATAACTTTGACTTAAACTAGTTTCTAAAAAAAGATCCGATCGCTAACTGTGTAAGAGTGGAGCGGCCGTYGTGTAAATAGTAAATACCAACAACATAATATTCAAAAAGAACTTATCCAAATTATACATGTACAGATATAATTCATGAACTAAGATATAAGTTAAAACTAATTTTACAAACAATGATAAGAAGTAGTTAAGGAAATGATATAATAATAATTTATCAGAACAGAACGTCAACTTAAAAATTTTGAGTCACGTGGTTATAAAATAAGATAATAAATTAACCACATAATTAAAAAATAGATTAGGTACCTAGTATCCAAAC